ATTTGTTTTGTACAAATAGTAGTAGCTATATAGTTAGCAGTTTAATGGTTAGCCCTAACTGCAAGTGTTGGCCTCGGCCATAACATAAATATATGTAACTATTTTAAATTATTAATAAAGATATAAGCAAGGCCTCACCTTAATACTAAAAAAATATATATATATATATATAGACAAGTAGCATTTAGCTCAATATTACTATGCAAATAGGTAATAAGCATTTGGCTTACTAAAATTGATTGTCTATAAGCTTTATCTATAATTATTTAGTTATTAAGTATAGTAATAAGCTATAGCTTAAAATATTTTAAAAAATATTCTATAGTATAACTAAAAAGAATTAATTTTTAGAAGTTAAAAATGGGCATAAAAAGTTTAGTAATATGAATAGTTTGTTGTAAAATCTTCAAGAATTGTGAACTATAATGGTTTTTTGTCTTTAAAAATTTTATAAATTCTGAGATAAATATATTTCTAGTTAAAATAACATAAATTATCATATATAGTAAGTTAATTTAGAAAGGTATATAGTGCTAATAAAATTGTTTTTTGAAACTAAAATATTTAAGTATAATAATAGTATAGATTCTAAAGAAATAGTATCTGTAATTATTATATAAAATATATTATATGCATAATTAAAATTAATAAATAGACCTAAATATATAAAAAAAACTATATAATTTTGAAGCTAGTTGTTTAATTATTTGAACTATCAATTAAAGGATTAGAAAACAAAATATATTTTAAAAAATCAAAAATTGGTTTGTAGTTGCTAAAGACAAATATAACAACTAGTTTTGGGTATTTCAAAATTATTAAGTCATTTAATATATTTAGGATATAATATTGTAATTAAATATCTTAAATATTATAAATATTGTATAATTGAAAATAAAGAAGAATACTAGTAAAAATTGTGCAACTAAGTTTAACTTTTTGCTTAATAAGCTCAATAAAATAGATAAGAATCTTTTTGCAAATAGTTTGACTAAATACAATATTATAGAAATAATATTTAATTATTAGAATAATAACTGTATTAATAATATATTATGCTTGTATATTAGTAATATGTTTAAAGTTAGCAATCTTAATAAGCTATTAAGATTCATTAAGATTAAGTTAAATTTAATGAGAATATTTGTTGTTAAGTATAAACCAATAGCCAAGAAATTTGAAAAATATTTGAACTAAATGAATAAAAAGTATATTGTTAATTAATTAGTTTATTTTGTTAAAAAAATAACAAACAAAAAAAATTAATTTGATCTATTTATAATATATTATTGCATAAAAATTTAGAGACCTATAATATGCTTAATGATAAATATATATTTTAGAATTAATTAGTTTTTCTGAGAAAACCTTTTATGATATTTAATTTTTTTAAAACTTTGATTTATATTTCTAAATATTCAAACAATAACATCCTATAATAAGTTATTTTATAATATATTAGATAATTGTAAGATACTAAATTTTGAATATTTATATTTGCTAGATATATATTTGTATTAACAACAAATTTAATTTTTCTATTATAAGAATATCAATCAATTGCATATCTTGTTTTATTTATTTTTTTTACTAGTTTATTATTAGAACTTACATATTTATAATCATACCTTTGTGTACAACTAAGATGAACTATTACTTCTTCTGTAAATTGGTTATTTTTTTTGTATAAATAAATATTTCATAATTTTTAGTAAAAATAAGATCCTATTTTAATTAATAAAAGAAAAGGTAAGACTATATTGAGATATTTATTTTCTTCATCATCATTACTTAATATATCATTAACTAATTCATCTTCTAATCTAAAAGTTTTTAAAAAATGTACTTCTTCAATGTCTATAAAACAACTTACAATTACACTTTCTAAATTTACTAAATCATATAAAACATTATTATCATAAGCAATTATTTCTTCTATATTATCATTATCAAGAATATTTACTAGGTTTATACTTTCTGAATACGTGGTTTCTTCACTCTCAATATTTACTGATTTTCTTTTTTTTTTAGTTGTACAGATATTATAATGAGAAAATTCCTTTAGATGTTCTTTGTTTTGCCAAATAAAATTATCAATAATTTTGGACTTGTCACAATGAGAACATCTTTTTACATAATTGTTGAGACTTTCTATACTTTGACTAGAAGAAGCCATTGTTTGTTAGAACTAGATGTGTATAAATAATGGAAATAACAAATCAGGTAAAATTTAGTTAGCGAATTAGATGTAAGTGAATTGGTACAATAGGATGGCAAATTAAATGCAATCAGAATAGCAAAATAAATATGATCAGAATAGCAAAATAAATATAACCAGAATTGTGAAATAAATACAATCAGGATGACGAAATAAATATGATCAGGATGGCAAAATAATAGGGTTAAGATGACAAAATAAATATAGTCGAATGATGAAATAAATATGATCAGAATAGCGAAATAAATATAATCAAGATAGCAAAATAAATATTATTAGAATAGTGAAATAAACATGATTAGAATTGCTAAATAAGTATATTTAGATAGTAAATTTATGTATATAATTTGGATGGAAATTATAATTTTATAGCAAATTAGGTTTAATTAAGCTTTTGATTTGTCAAAAGTTTGTTGTAAAACTAATTATTAGAGTTTTTTCTTTTTTGGTTATAGTTGTAGGTAATATATGAATTTTATATCTAATTTTAACAGTTTAATTAATTCATTGCTAATTAAACATTTAATTAATTTCACTTGGATAATATGATTAATTTTAAAATAAATAACCTTAAACAATATATTAAGTTTCAAAGTTATGTATATAATAAATTTATTACAAATTATAATTTTCAAGTATCAATTAAATTTGCATAAACTACAATACTATAAATCAATTACAAGTTAATTTCGAAAATATAACAAATTTTGATAAATTGTAAATTTAATTTAACAGAAATATTTGATTAATTTTGTCGAATTGAAATTTTAATTCTAAAAAAAAAAATCATTAATTTCACATTTAATTTATTTATTTATTAAATTTCAAAATATAAACCTATTATCTCTAAATGTTGAAAGTATTTAAAAGCTATTTATCTCTAAATGTCGAAAGTATTTAAAAGCTATTTATCTCTAAATGTCAAAAGTATTTAATAAATAAATATAAATACCGATTAAAGTCTAATATAAATTATATAGAATATTTTATGATTAAATGCATATAAAAACTGATATATAAAACTTTACGGAAACTTGATTTCTTAATGCACAGTAACTGCGTAGTAACTGTATAATAACTATATAGTCACTATTAAACTTAATAGTAATTACATAGTTGCCACATAGTTACTATGTAGTTACTGCGTATTAAGATATTCAAAGTTCTGTATAGTACGTTACTACTATTTTTACTACTAGGAATCTGAAACCGATGTAAGTCCGAAGTATAAAGAATAGAAATTAATAGTGATAGTATCTGTGTTAATTATACAATAAAATTTGAAGAGTCAAGGTGCTAAGTCAAATAAATTTGTGCAGATATTTTTGCTTATAGTGCAAGTCATGTGTTTGGATGGACAGAAAATTCGAAATTACGTTTTTGATATTTTTATATGGAATTTATCGAAAGCGCAATTTTGGATCACTGTGCACAGAATTTAAGAGCCCTTCGCTTCGTTCCGGATAACCATTATACTACAATTTTTATAAAATTTAAAAAAATCGGTATTATAAAATTGTAGTAATAGTATAGTAGAATAGTAGTAACGTAGTAGCAGGCTTATTGCTAACGTATAGTAAATGTTACTTTAAAGTAATCATATAGTTATTTTGAAGTAGCTCTAAAGTTGTTAAATTGAGTTTCTGTAAAGTACTTAATACAACCTGTTTACCGTATTTTCGCGTAATAACGCCCATGAGTGTAATTTCGAATTTGGTCCGAATTAAGCTTAATAGTCAAAATTTGAAACCACACCCCTGCACGTTATTACACGAAATTACGGTAGCTATCATTTAAATAGTATATTCAAACTATTTAATTAATTTGAATTAGAGTTCAATAAGGTATGAAACATTTTGATTTTTTTTTGAGAAAATTTTCAACAAATAATTTTAAATATTGTGATTAAAATCTCATTTTACATTACAAAATACCAAAAATTCTCGATATAAGAAAGGTGGGTAATAGCCTTTTATTAATGATTTTGGCCAACTTTCTAATATCGAAAAATTTATTGGTATTTCATGTATTGAAGGTTTTCAACATTGAAAAGTTATTTGTATATATCAATATAATAAAAACCTTTTTAAAAATTTATCTTAATTTACAAGACAAGTATGAATAATTAAGAATAGATAATCTTGTTTTGCTTAAAAAAAAGTCAAATATTGTCTTTTTTTAAAAAAAAGATCATTGATCTTTGAAATGTTTTCTTCCACCATGATTGCTACTACCTCGGCTACTACCTCGACTATGACCTCTCTTTCCACGCCCACCTCTTCCCCTTCCCCTTCCCCTTCCCCTACCCCTTCCTCTTCCTCTATGGTTACTAACACCTTTCCTTGCAAACCTTAAGTAAAAAAAGACAAATTAATATCATGACAAAAGTAAATGAAAAGAATATTAATGTTTAACCTACTTATTTTCTAATAATTCAGCAATTTCATCTTCACATAAAATACATCCTTTTAAAGGTTTCTTATTTTGATTTTCTCGAAATTCAATTTTTAATACACAAGAATTACATTCTTCATTTTCACAATATTCATCTTTTGATATGGAAACACCTTTTTTTTTTTAAAAAAAAAGAAGAGATTATTATAAAAACTTGTAAATTATGACAAAAGATGACATAATTTTTCTGAATTTATTATTATATACCTTTAACCAAATCTGTAAATACGGAAACGAAATTACATACATTACAAGATAATTTCCACTTAGGTGCTGATGTAGCATCTAATACCATTTGACCAGTACATGAATTCACTTGACATGAACAGACTTCATTATTAGTTAATGAATGTTCACATGTAGGATGAGGGCAACGATTACATCCCATGCCTATAATTAATATATATGTTAACAAAAAAAAAAAAAGATTTGATTTTGATTCTAAATAAGATTTGACTACCTTTTTTTACGTTTTCAAAAGGTGGATTATTATAACAATTTGGACATAATGGATAGCCAATATCCTTCGAACCAGTTGAAAATGATACAAGCCCAAAACCGTCAAGTGGCTACATGAAAAAAAAGGGACAGACAGTTAACGTATGGTTTATTCGTAGAGTTTACAAGTTAATATTTACTTACACATTGAAGTCCTTTATAATCCTATAAGAGTAAAATGAATATAAATACCAAGACAAAGATAACCAATAAACAATAAAAATGATAAATGCCTTAATATGTCCATTTGGAGGTAACGAGTATGTTTCATTACAGGTTGAACAATGCAAACGCACGGGCCTTTATGAATTAAAACAAAAAAAAGGTAAAGGCAACAATCATGATAATAAAATAAACAAATTAAATGTTTTACATACTTTAATGCAATATATTTCAAGTATCTTTTAAAAAAAAATAGAACAAGAATTGAGAAAATAAAAAAAAAAATTTTTCATACACATTTTAAAATAATTACCGTTTACAATTCCCGCATTTTGTAAGGATTTTTCCAGTTGAAGCAAGAGGTGAGAAGGTTGCTTCAAACAATTCATCCATTTGTGCAACCTAATAGTTGAGTAATAAAGTCTGTTAAATAGTATTTTCAATAATTTAACCAAATTATATATAATAATTATAAACAAACATTATCTCTAAAATATTTAAATTTTGCAGCGAACAAATTTAAACAATGTTCTAACACTTCTGCTTGTCTAGCTCTACCTAGTGCTATATAATTCAACTGTTTTTCAACTTCACTTCGCATTGTAGGAAGTGATAATTCTGGATCGATTTTTTCTAAACAATAATTAATTGTTAATTGCAAATATATACTTCAAAATAAAATAAACCATATTATCAAATCAAATAATAGAATTATGAAGGATACGATATCTATCATTATTTTTAAATAAAAGTAGAAAGAATAAAGAATTGCATTAATCAAAGAGATGTTTAATCACAACTGCATCAAAAAAAAGAGATAACCACATATTACCCATGAATCAAAACAATTCCTTAAAACAAAAAATGAGTTAGTAATTCTTTTATCGGCTAAAGCATATACAGTAGGAGTTAATTTATTACCTAAATTAGTAGGAACCAATCTACGTGCAGAAGTTTGAACCTATACAAAAAATATATATTTATATCTTTTCAAGACGGACAAAGGATAATGAATATTATATAATTTACCGTTACATAATTTCGTTGGCATATATTATTAATATGAGCTGGTATAGATGCATCTGTTCCTATACCATGTTTCTCCATCTATAAATAAATAAAAGATAAAGAAGCATCATTGTCATTTAAAATAACATAAACATGTATCATATTAAGATTACAAAATTACGATTTATAATTGTTCATACCAAACTAATTACTTCACTTTCTGTGAGATAGTCTGGAGGGCTTGTCAGTCCTTCAACCAATTTGACATTTGTAATTTTTAAAATTTCATCCTGATGAAGTTCTTGCAAAATTTGATCTGACATTGATCGCCTATACACAAATGTATTAATTTCTCAATCAATTAATGACTATAACTAGATCTAAATCAGATGTTATGTAAAGTTCCATACCAATGCATAATACTAGAGAATCCAGGTTGCAACACTCGTATTCCTGTAAATAATGGAATAATTTAATATCAGGTAAAATTCTATAAAATTAATAAGTGTTCATAAATTACCTGAACATTCGAAAGATTCATCACCAATTTTTATAATGGCATTTGTCTTTTGATACTTCAAATTGGGACTGATTGAACCAATAAAATGTCGAGTTACGTAATTATAAATTCTCCAAGAATCTCCTGACAAATCACCTTCATTTACTACCCGCATAGGAGTTCTACAAACGATACATTCAGATATGAGAAAATAACATTATTCGTGATGTTTTCATAATATACATACATGGGTGGATGATCACCTAAACAAGAAAATGTTAATAGATATCAATTACAATGCCAAACCCATTTTGAAGGTAATTTCCATAAATACTTACCAGCATCACTGCCTCCTGTTGGCCATTCAAATCCTTTTTCAAGTAATTCCTTTGCATATAAGCCCCTGCAAAATAATTTCGTGTTTAATATTGTTATATTTAAGAAGATTAAGTAAGATTTATTAACAACTTACCATAAGTCGTGCCTTGATTGATCCTTCAAAACAGATTTTATATCAAAATTTTTTGGATAAGTAGTAGTCTCAGTACGTGGATAAGATATATATCCTTGAGTATAAAGTCGTTCCGCTATAAGCATCTATCATATTCATCAAAAAAATTAGTTTTATTAGCAAATTACTTTAAAGGAATTTAATGGATATACCTATTCATGTTAAACTTACAGTTTCATGAGGACCAATGCCAAGATTAGATGATCCAAATTTAAGCAACTCAACCTATAACATTAAAAAAAAGATTGTTTTATAAAATAGAGAACCTTTATAAAATTTATGTGAAAGAATAAAAAAAAAAAATTTACTAACAGTGTTTAAAGCATGTGGTCTGCCTTTTGTCTTTTTTTCAGAAGAAATTGATATTACTCTAACATAGGATTAACACAAAGATTAACACAAGTTTAGAAAGATTAAAAAATAGATTAATAATTGAAATATTTATTATTTGATAAATGAAATAAGGTCATACTTGGCTTCTTTACATTTTCTAACCATGGATTGAATCGTTGTTGCAACATGTTTATCAAAAACTCTAGCTTTCTCCCAACTGAGATGTATTTCAGAGCCACATTGCTCACCATTAGCACCTTGTTTAGCTACAGAAACTGATAAAGTCCAAAATGGTTCTGGACTAAATGATTTGATCTGATCGTGTCGAGAAACACAAAAAGAAAGAGTAGGTGTTTGGCAAGGACCATAGGATATTACACTAGAATCAAGGTTTCCGTACTTTTGATTAAAGAATTTAGTTTGGAACCGTGTAAAGGCACAGCCAACCTAATATTAAAAAAAATTTTAAATTGAATATAATATATATAAAGCTTGTTAATATTAACTATTATGATTCTATAGGTTACTTTGAGATCAAATTCCTGACGTGCATCCACAGCTATAAATAGTTAACAAAAAGGATAAACTTTTAATAATTAGATAGATAACAAATATATATGTATTAGTACGAACCTAAAGATTCATTCTCATTTGGAAAAGTCAAGTTATTCATTGCTCTACGAATATCAGTTGCCGTGATCGCTAAAATAGATAAGGAATTACATGAAGTAGATGTTGTAAGAAGCATTATTTAAAAGGTAAGATTAATACCTACCAGAAAACTTTGCCCGTAAAATTCGACTATCCTTAGGTCGACCATCAGGTAGTCTTTTCATACCTTCACGAACATTTTTAATAACTTCAAAGCATATATTTTCCCCTTCTCTATCGCAATCCAACCAAAGAATAACATAATCGACACCTAATTTATTAATTTTAAAATAGAAACTTTAAATTAAAAAGAAAGTTTAAATAAAAATAGATTAATTCTAATCATATAATAAAGGCTTACCTTTTGATTCTTGTCGTAAATGCTGACAAATACCCCCTGACTAAAGATAATTTAAATGAGATCATAGTTAAGAATATCAAATATGTGAAAGTTTATAGAGAATTTAAACATAAGTTATGGTTATTTTTTCCATTCTTATAATTTGATAGAATAACAAAAGAATATTTAAGAAACTTACTTTTGAAGCTTCTAGTTTAATTGTTCGAGCAGTAAATAATTCCAATGGGTCAATATTCCAATCATTAAATTCTTTTGTAAAATCTAAACTAGAAATATTTTTATCATCAATTAACTAGAGATATTAATTGAATCTTTTTTTTTAAAAAAAAAAAATTTAACCATACTTATAAACATGACCTATTTAATAAAGTTAATTAAGGTTTAAAGATTAAAATTTAATAAAATGGTTTCATTGTCGAAAAAAATAGAAAGAATTGAATAACTCAATTATTAACCTTTGACCGAAGTAAACTTAAATTTGCACATAGAACCACGAAATTCTGCAAAATATTCATGAACAGGAGAGGCTTGCTTTCGAGTATTGTACTGTTTTAATATAATAATTATTAATTATTAATTATTAATTGCTAATTGTTATAGTAAATTCGAATTTTGACTATTCATACTCGGCCATTAGGTGCTAAAAGCTTCGATATTGATTCAGCAAGAGAAGGCTTTTCAGCAATCTAGTTATTTCAAATTAAAAATAGTAAAAAAAGTTATTAAAAAAGCTATTAAATTTTTTTAATGATATAAAATTTATAAATACCATTAAAGCAGTGCAGGACATTTTGAGAAAGCTATTGTTATGGATTTCGATCTACCAAACTATCCATTTAAGATAAATTCTGTATTATATAAACGGCTAAATATCGGTAGATCCAAATTTATGGTTGTAACTTATTAACGTTAAACGGTTAGAACAGATATCGTTACCGTTATGCATCTTGTAAAATGTTCATTTAGTGTTTATAATATTATTGTATATTTTTTGCCTTATTTTTGTATGGTAGTGTATTTTAGGGACTTTAAATTGGCGGAGGCTGAGATTTCTTAATATCACTTTGCAAGAATACATTTATTAAACTTTTAGTGAATGCACTGAACGAACAGTTTAAATATAGCATTGACTGATGATGTCATTTTCAAAATCAGCTATCCACATAATCCTTTGCTTTTTAGTATGATGCACTATGTTCCATTTTATAATTTTATTGAGAAGATAGTTTTAAATAGAACGGTTCTAAAAAGTTTCAAGACTAAACTGTTCGCATTATATCTGTATGTATTTTTTGCTTACTCTTAAAACGGTTAAATAAAATTCAATCCATTTAATACGAAACGAATGTAATGACGTAAATATTATTTTAATATAACATTACATGCATATATGTCATGTATCAGGCGTGAATTAACATTGAAATTGTATAATGATAATTGAAAAATAGTTCTACGACTTTTTATGTCAAGGCATTAAAATTTGTGTCAAAAAATTGTATATTTTTTATCCTATAAGTACTACACCGCGTATTTTATTTGTTAGCGAAACCCAGTCAAATCCCAAACCAAAAAAATGAAATTGCCCTTTACAAAAAGTTAAATTAAAAAATAAATTATGATATTTTGCCAATGTATTATTATATGTGACTATAAGTTTTTGAGATATTAATTTGGCTAGAGTTTGGGTAGCAAGTATAAGAATATTTCGATCTTTCGGTATCGACAAAATACCTGAAGTTAGGTATTCTAATCAATACTAAAGAAAAAAATGAAAGCATTATATAAATAAATAAATAATTGTAATATCAACAAATGTCATTGCAAAATTGGCGATTATTAATGTAACTATTGTATTTTTGCTTCAACCGTATATGAACAACGCCAAAGGAAAACCAGTCACCAGCTTTTAAACTTATAACTTATCGAAGGGCCGAAGTTAGGTATTTTTTGATAAATTGTCCAATTTATTTCCATCTAATTTGCTATTTTAAACTTTACATATCTTAAACATGTGACGATCTTTAGATCTGAAAACCAGACAAGCATGCAAGTGTGCGTAATGTCTTCTGTCTCCACAAAAATTGTTAATTTTCATTTAACACGGGAAGATAAAAAATCATCACACGTATTTACCTGAAAACACTTCTAAGCTTCTTCGCTACTATGGTAATATTATTATTATAATCATCTATTTTCACTTTCATGTTTTAGTAGAACTTTTCAAGCCCTATAAATATCTAAATGGCCTGAAAAAAGATCGTGTGAGTGACGGAAAGGGAAAACCTGCAAATTAGATTACACATATCATCTTTTTGTTTTTAAGAGTCACTAGGTTATTTACCGTAGAAAGATGTATCGATTATGACCAAAGACACGTATTTGATAACATTTAATCATTTCAGTAATTAATTTTGCAGGGATTAAATTAGAAAGGTTAAAATTAGTGAATCACAATTTACAAGGCTTCCCTCACTGTCACTCATATCCATAATTCATTATGGAGGAGGATAAAGACTTTAAAGAAATTGTTTTCAATACACCCCTGACATTTGGAGGTCAATCATAGCGAATGCCTTTTTTTTTTAACGGAAAATGCCCAGTCGGACAGATCATCCACGTAGGTTGTGCTTCAGTGTTGGCTTGTGACCTGTTATAAACTATTTGATAATTATAAGTTATGAATCATCAAAAATTACTACTACATTATGACCACCTTGGTCACCAACACTGTGTGCTTGTATACTATTGGCTTAGTAGGCAGGTGTATCCTTGTTTATATAGAATGATTTCATGTATAATTGCACAAGTAAACATCTACAAGAAATTATTTTCCCGATGCGGGTTGTTTCTTTGTACGCTTGTGAGATAAGGCGTGGCCTTTCTCGAATGTAAATTTTTCAGACTCTTTTACTGTTTGTATTTTAATGTTTTCCGTAATTTTGATGCAACATGCACCCATTTAACGAAACACTAGGTATTAAAAAGTGCAAATAATAAGTGTCGTGGCTGACGCTAAAATTTGGAGTCTCGATTGCTAAAATCCACATATATACTTTATTTATCAATTCTAGCCCAAAATTCTAACCCAGCCCTAAAGAAAGCCCCAAAAATTTTTAAAGTCTCACATCAAAATAGGTCAAAATTTAAGCATCAGCCGCGACAATAAATAACAGCTATATAATACCATCATTAATAAAAAGCATTATACGACAAGAGATATTATAAACTAATTTTAAAAGTTCTCTATAAACTATTAGTGCAATGGATGATAAGCGGATTTCCCTCAAATTTACAATTGCAAAATAAAGGGTTGTTTAAATCTCTTACCCATACATTTTCTCCAAAGGGATCTAAATTCTTGGCAATTTTGGAATACACCCTAAACCTAAACAAATTGAATACATTAAAGTTTTAATACAAACTTAACTCCTGACTGTAGGGCATACGCACATAACACGTGTGAAATGTAAATTGACTTAACCCTTTGAGTTTGTCATCAAAACTCGTTGAATTCAGGTAAATAAAACTTTTGATAGCAAAGATCGAAACTCCAAATATGAAAGCCTAATCGTTTAGTAAAGATTACTAGCAATCATTAAAAGTATCTTTAAAAAAACAAGAAAAATTGGAAATTGGCTTTTCGTTAAAACGTTACTATAATTTACTTCAAAATTTCAGATCGTCTTAAAACCGTCTAATTTATAATGCATCTTGATTTCCACACATAAACACTTTACTATCATCCTTGATAATCATAAAAGAAATCCAATTAGTAAATATATATTGGTCTTTTCGAAAAAGATTTACAATTATTCGTCTCAGTTGCAAAATTCCGCATTTGTATTTAATCAAAACCAAATTTATGGCTCATCTGTCCCTAACTTTTTTATCATCATTGACGATAATACGTAATAAACTAAATGGAGATGATACATGCCTTACTGAGTCCCTATATCTATAAAATTATAGATTTTTGACGTTAAACTAGAAAGGAACCGTCATAAATTCGGAGTAAATTATACAAACAAGTTTGATGGAGTGAGACTTTTTTTTAAATTAAATATATACAAGTTGACTGTAAAGACTAATCGATTGTTTTAAAGAAGTTGTCCTTATAATCTTGTAATTTTAGTAATGTTTAATTTCATAATTGTTTAATAAATAAAAATATATTTAAGTACAGAACGTATTTTTTTTTTTTTTTTTTTTTTTCTTGATGAGATTAACTATAAATAATCAGATCGTCATTGTCACCTGATATTAACATGTTAACTGCAAACTGTTAAAGCATGCATAGAACCTACGTACGTATTTAGGGTGATGCTTATTTCGCTGACAATCACACCATTTCAACGACAGCCAATTTACAAGTTTATTCTCACAGACAGTCATTTCGCCGTCAAAGTAATTCTGGTCATTTTCGTTAGGGTCTAGAGTAGTGTTTGAAACCGGTATCGTAATCCGGGTTAAACCGGTTATAAGTTACATGGATTAATCAGTTTGGTTACATCTGAAAATCAGTTTGGTTATATCCGATTAATCGGCTTTATTATAACTGGTTATATTAATAGTGAAACTTTTTTCCAAGGTATCCAGTTTGTTAAAAGTAAGCTCGAGTCAGGGTGGTTGAAATATACGATGTAGCATATATATACATGTTTCGCAACTAGTGATCAGCCGACATCTGATATATCGGCAAATTGTATAAGTCTAGCATCACCATCCTAAAAAATTTCGTCGACTATGTGATATTATTAAATAATTGTTTCTCAATTAGTTTAGGATTAGGGTCTCACAGTAGGTTAACGTTTAGTTTAAAGGGTTATAGTTATAGTAAAATTTCACGAAGAAATTCTTAGCATGCAGAAGGCACTTTCATAGGCAAACTTTTGAACCACGAGCGTTTTTTTGTTGTTTTGATGGTAATTGTTGACAATTTTGACCGGAATTATAGCTCATTGATTGGCGGCTGCCCATTAAATGAAAAACGTTCCTAGGCTAATTTTGCCATTAAATTAAAAATTATTTCTGGCCAAAATTATGTATACTGCGGACCAGAATTTTGTCGATCGCCGATCAAAATCGAGGATCATCCTAGTTTCTGAGACAAATTTTCGGATCGTTCATATGCTGACAGAGCTTTTGTAAATCTTGTACGTACCTTATGTATAACGTGATGAATTTTCCTAAACTTCCATAAATTACTTGTAATGTAAAATTAGAATTCTGCAGATCCTCAATTTTGATTGGCTAACGGTCGTGGATCTGCAAAATTTTAGCCCACATTACACTAATTTCTGTCTAGAATTAACTTTTTTTAACATCATTTCAAAAATAGAAATTTCAAAGAAATAGCCTGTACAATGGTGAAATTAGTTTAGGAATAATTTTAACTTAATGGTGGCTGTAATTTCATTAATAAAATTTTGAGTAATTCTGACATAAAACAGGCATAAACATAAATAGGTACAAACATTACTAGTTTTGTATTAAGAATCTGAGTGTAGTAATAAATTTTCTAATAAGTGTAAAAATATTACAAATGTCTTATGTAATTTATTTCAAATTGTTGTTCATCTTATATAAACGTTGAAAATAATGCTGAAATTTTAACTTATTATATTATAAAATTTTAAAATTGTTTTGAAAAGTTTTGTTTAGTTTTTTTTCATAGTTAGGTTGGTTAGTGTTTATAATAAAAGAGTATAAGTAAATTTTAGTAAGGTTTATATTTTTCAATTAAGGCCCCGGATTTCAGCATTATTATTGACATAAATTAATTAAATTTAC